ATTAATTTTTTCCTTGTTCTTTTTTCTTTTAAATGACCAGTTACTCACCATTTCCTCTTCCATCTCATCCAATTCATTTTTTTCTTTTTTCTTTCTTTTAAATGACCAGTTACTCACCATTTCCTTTCCATCTCATCCGATTCATTTTTTTTCTATTTCTTTTAAAATGACCAGTTACTCACCATTTCTTTTTCCATCTCATCCAATTCATTTTTTTCTTTTAAGTGACCAGTTACTCACCATTTCCTCTCATCCACTCATTCTTAAAAAAATAAACCAATAAACAACCAGTCACTCATCCTTCCTCTTTCATCTCTTCCACAAAGAAATAAACAACCAGTCACTCACCCTTCCTCTTTCATCTCTTCCACAAAGAAATAAACAACCAGTCACTCACCCTTCCTCTTTCGTCTCTTCCACAAACCAATAAAACAACCAGTCACTCACCTTCCTCTTTCGTCTCTTCCACAAAGAAATAAACAACCAGTCACTCACCCTTCCTCTTTCGTCTCTTCCACAAACAAATAAACAACCAGTCACTCATTCCTTCTCTTTCGTCTCTTCCACAAAAAAATAAACAACCAGTCACTCATCCTTCCTCTTTCGTCTCTTCCAAAAATAAACAACCAGTCACTCACCCTTCCTCTTTCGTCTCTTCCACAAACCAATAAACAACCAGTCACTCATCCTTCCTCTTTCATCTCTTCCACAAATAAAAACCAGTCACTCACCTTCCTCTTTCCTCTCTTCCACAAACAAATAAACAACCAGTCACTCATCCTTCCTCTTTCGTCTTCCACAAACCAATAAACAACCAGTCACTCACCCTTCCTCTTTCATCTCTTCCACAAAGAAATAAACAACCAGTCACTCACCCTTCCTCTTTCGTCTCTTCCACAAAGAAATAAACAACCAGTCACTCACCCTTCCTCTTTCATCTCTTCCACAAAGAAATAAACAACCAGTCACTCACCCTTCCTCTTTCGTCTCTTCCACAAACAAATAAACAACCAGTCACTCACCCTTCCTCTTTCGTCTCTTCCACAAACAATAAACAACCAGTCACTCACCTTCCTCTTTCTCTCTTCCACAAACAATAAACAACCAGTCACTCACCCTTCCTCTTTCGTCTCTTCCACAAACAAATAAACAACCAGTCACTCATCCTTCCTCTTTCGTCTCTTCCACAAAGAAATAAACAACCAGTCACTCACCCTTCCTCTTTCGTCTCTTCCCAAAAAAAATAAACAACCAGTCACTCACCCTTCCTCTTTCGTCTCTTCCACAAAAAAAATAAACAACCAGTCACTCACCTTCCTCTTTCGTCTCTTCCACAAAAATAAACAACCAGTCACTCACCTTCCTCTTTCTCTCTTCCACAAAAAATAAACAACCAGTCACTCATCCTTCCTCTTTCATCTCTTCCACAAACCAATAAACAACCAGTCACTCACCTTCCTCTTTCATCTCTTCCACAAACAAAATAAACAACCAGTCACTCACCTTCCTCTTTCGTCTCTTCCACAAACCAATAAACAACCAGTCACTCACCCTTCCTCTTTCATCTCTTCCACAAAAAATAAACAACCAGTCACTCACCTTCCTCTTTCATCTCTTCCACAAACCAAAAACAACCAGTCACTCACCTTCCTCTTTCATCTCTTCCACAAAAAATAAACAACCAGTCACTCACCTTCCTCTTTCATCTCTTCCACAAACAAATAAACAACCAGTCACTCACCTTCCTCTTTCATCTCTTCCAAAACAAATAAACAACCAGTCACTCATCCTTCCTCTTTCATCTCTTCCACAAAGAAATAAACAACCAGTCACTCATCCTTCCTCTTTTCATCTCTTCCAAACTAAACAACCAGTCACTCACCCTTCCTCTTTCGTCTCTTCCACAAACAAATAAACAACCAGTCACTCACCC